GCAGGCATGGGGCCTGCCAAGGTCAAATGCTGCTTGTTTGGAGTTTGTGGACCTTAGAGATTTTAGGAAAACCCACAGCATGAGCCGAGACAGGCTGTTTGTATGGAAAAGCTGCTCAGAGAGGCTTGAGTGGGCCTGCAGGTTGGGTAGCGCAGGATCTCAGAATCACCAGCATGGAAGTACAGTATTAAACAGGTTGATGGAGACTCAGGCTTGATGCCTGCCTGTCCCTGCAGGTTATGTTGAGGGAAGGCTCAGCAGAGGAACAATGGCACCTACCAGCTGCCTTTGAGCCCTAGCCCTGAAGCCAGACAATTCAGGTCCTCCCCTTTGTCCCTGCTGTTTTTTGAGCTGCTGCCCCAGTGAGTGAGTTTGAGTAAGTCCGAGCATGGGACCTTTAAGACCTGTAGTGCTTGGACTCCAGCAGCCCTTGTCTCACCCAGTTGCAATCACCACTGTTTTTCATAGCCAGGAATTACGGTGACTTCTATTCCCAGTACTGGAATCATGGGCTGGGGAGTCCAGTGTGGAGATGGGACCCCTGGCTCCTCATGGGGGACTTCTGCACTGAGATATCCTTCCTGATTCTGTACCACCACACATGGATGTGGGAACAGCCTCTTCTGTGTCTCCACCCCTCCTACCAGTCTCAACATGGCCTTTTCTTTATATCCTTGGTTGTAGGACTTCTGTTCAGCTAGTCTTCAAGTAGTTCTCAATGATGGTTGTTCTGTAAGTAGTTGTAACTCTGAAGTGGTCATAGAAGGAGGTGAGCACAGCGTTTATCTACTCTACCATCTTGACCAGAATTCCCATCCAGTAAAAATTTCATTTCAGATACTGTACTATTTGGTTCTAAAAACTGTATTTGGTTCTTGTGGTCATTTTGTGCTGTGTCAAATTAAGCTGGAACTACATTTCCAAATTCACTTCCCTATATGATTCCAAGTTTGAGTTGGCCAAAAGAGAAGTTTGCAAGAGATTTTTGGGCAGACATGAAGCAGCAACCAGTCTACACACTAAAGGAAAGTATCAGGCACTTGTAGCTTGCTCTGAGCTGTTGGCTTACCTTCTTGGCCTGGGTAAGCAGCCAAGCTTCCTCAGCTGCCACTGGATCTCCTTCTGTTTCTCTGAGACCTGAGCCCTGTGAGTGTGTAGCTCCATGTGAAGGGCACTAGCTCCTTCTGCAGGTCACTGACTTCACTGTGGGTGGATTTTAGTTTTTCCTCCTAAGTTCCTGTTTCTCTTCATGGGTTCCAGTTTGTTCTTGCTTTCCCCATATAGCTTCCAGCTTTCCTTCCAAACTGTGGTCCCTGCTGTCCTATGATGACTTTAAGGTCACGACAGCCTTCTGTAGACTTCTTCACCAGCTCCCACAATTTCATAAGGTTTAACCCCTAGAATAAAGCCCTATATTCATTTCAGTTATAGTGGTTCTGCTCTTTAATCAAATTCTATCATTTCTCTGCTGAGATTCTCTAACTACTCACTCACTCATTATGACCATCGTTTTAAAATTCCTTGTGCAAATTTATCATATCTGCTTTAAAGTTCTTCTAATTCTAACAGCTGGGTCATCTCTGGGTCAGTTTTAAGACTGCTTTTTTTCTCTTAACTATGTGTCACCTTTTCCTGTTTCTTCACATGTGTAATGATTTTTATTGTATACTTGCTGTTGTAAAGAATAGGTTGTAGGCACATTGTCTTCCTCTGAAGAGTGTTGGTTTTTATTTTATCGGTAGATAAATCATTGGCAAGTCTCCTTGAGCTTGTGGAGGCTTGGATTTACATTTATTTTAGGGTGGGTGTGTTTCAACTTTGTCTTTAGTTTTAGGGTGAATCCCTGGGTCTTGACACATGGTCTTCACTCCTAAAGTGTAGCTCTTCTGTGCTCGTAAAGGAAATCCTGTGGTGGTTACTAGGCTTCTTCACCTCAGTTTGTCTCTGACTCCAAATTGTCCCCACTCCCATAGGCGACAGCTGGAATCCTCTTCAGCCTTAGTTTCTGCCTGCTTTTAGTAACTTTCATGTGCCTTTGCATGTTTGTTTTTTAATATATTTTCCAGATTTATAATTGTCCTCTGCTGGAAGGTTAGTCTAAATGCAAGCTACTCCCTCATGACCAAAATCAGAACTTTGAAGTTATCTTTTAAGACTAAAGCTAAAGGAAAGAGAAGGAGGGGGTGGGGTATTCCTGAATCCTGTTAACAAAAAGAGAGAGCTGGAGAGGTTTGGAGGGTGAAAGTAAAGAGATGTCATAGCAATCTCTTCTTCCAATAGATTGCCTCTCTTTGCTGGGAATTAAAGTGTGTGTGTGTGTGTGTGTGTGTGTGTGTGTGTGTGTGTGTGTTGAGAGAGAGGAGAGAGAGAGAGAGGGAGAGAACACCACAGGGCACTTTAATTCTGTCTCCTTGAATCCAGTGCATAGGGATTAGAAGGCAGAGGAACATACAGTAAAGCTGCTCTAATGCCGGTGCCAGCTCCTGTGTGTGTGTGTGTGTGTGTGTGTGTGTGTGTGTGTGTGTCTCATGTACTCTCCAGCTTTCCATAGTTCCCAGCACCCCCAGGATTGAGGCTTGTTGCTTCTCTCACTCACATTTCTGAACATGACCTATCTGGCCCCATAGGTTTTTGGGTTTGTGAGTCCTGCTCTAAACCATGCTGGGTTTGCTACTATTGTCCTTGGTCATGTCACCATGGTCACCTGTCTGAAGTTTAGGGGAGATTTAGAAAGGTCTGAAGAATCTGTGGGAAATAGGGATGCATGCAAAATCCCCTGGGAAAATGGCAAAACAAGGTATCACCTGCCAGGAGGATGGCTTGAGTGAAAAGAGATACCCCCATGTGTTTTAAGAAAGTTTCCCTTGGCCTAGACCTGAGGAGTGCTGCTACTGAGGATCATGCTTGCAGGTGAGATGCACCCCTGAGCTGAGAGAGGACTGGGACAGACTGACTGGCAGGCAAGAAAACAATGCGACTGCCTGTGACTCTGACAAAGAGAGGACATGCAGGAGAGACAGAGCCGTTGGTAGTGAACCAAGTGGAGCACCACTGGGAAGCATGGCATCATTGTAAACCAGAGCAGTGAGAGGCTGGACTCCACCACAGTGGCCTTTATACCAGCAAAATGCCCCCTTTCACCCCTCCCCCACACAGTGCAGGTGCAGTAGCTTCTGGCATGAGAGTAGAGAAACGAAAGATTAAAGGGGAGAGTTTTGCTATGATGGGGTAGAGGGAGAGGAGAAGATAATGAATTGTAAAGGTAGAATAGCAATGCTATTCTAAAGAGAGTCTTGAGGAATCTTTAAGGTGGGCGAGTGAGCTGAGAATTCAGGGCCAGTCCTACAGTAAGGCTTTATACAGTAGTGCTCAAGAGTGTGGGGTCTAGAATTGGACCCTGGGCAAGTCTTTAACCTCTGAATCTCCTCAACTGTAACATGGGGATAGGATAGTACCTTATGGGGTTCTGTCCTCATAAGGTTGTGAGTACTGAGTGAACACATTAAGTGCTTAGTACAGTTTCTAATAAATGTTAGCTGCCATTATTAGTATTATTTTATTATTAATAATAATAGCAGCAGTAAGGCACGAACACATCCATGTTCGAAATATCCATCATGGTTGTGACCATGATCACCATCACCCTACTTCTTTATGTCAAGAAGACTTTGTTAAATTGCAAATGTCACTTGGATGATTTATTAGCAGCAATGGACACATTTCAAAGGGAGGGCCTGGGGTTTTGGAGAAGCTCAGGCTGCCTGCATCTGGTTAGGACTCTCCCTTGGTGGCTTTGAGAAGTGGGAAGGCAGCATGAGAAAGAAAGGACAGTGGACAAACCACACCCACTTCATAAGCTGGTCTATATTCCACATAGTATAGTCACACTCAAATCTGTCCTAAAGCTGCCGTGTACCATGGGCATGTTAACGTTTTCATTGTAGCATAAAAACAAGTCCTACTTAATGGCCTGGCAGGGTTGGGCCGGTGAGAGCGCCCTTGTGCCCTTGTGCATGTGAGTGGGAGTCTGGTTGGGATCAAGGTGGAGGCTCATTGAAGAAACATCTGTTTTTCTGGATCAGGAGAAGCAGCTGCTGCAATTGATGGTCTCACGCCACTGGAGCTGACCAGTCTGCCTAAAGGAGGCCCTTCCCTGCCCAGAACCTATGAAAAAAGCAGCTGCCGCAGAAGTCAGATATTGGTCCCAGTGAGAGTTAGTCTGTGCATCTCAAAAGGAATACAATGAATTGCTTTTCCTTCCCAGTGCTTTCTTATTTGGCTTCCATGGAGGTCTGTGTTTGTAGAAGAACTTGGGTCTAATTGTTGCAGACAAATGCCTGTGTTCTTTTAGCTGAGACAGATGGGCAACAGGAGGAGGAGGTGGGAGTGGTTGTGAGGGAGGAGGTGACATTTGTAAATATGTCAAGGGACAATGAAAATTCACCGAAAATGCATTGGAACCTTTTAAGTGAGAAGGTGAAATGATCTTTTATAAATGATGTGCGGGTCTGTGAAGACAGTAATAGTGTCAGTGAGGGTATCGATTCTTGAGCATCTGTGGTTACAGTGGATAAAAATCAGCTATAGAGAATAGCAATTATTTTTAACCTCTTCCCATATAACATGTTTTACAGGAGCTGCTAACAATTTGCAAAATTAACTGTCACTTTTCTTTTTTCCACCACAGACAGCAAAAGGGCTAAGTAACAGGCAGCATAAGGAAGAAAGAAGAGTTGTAAAAACTTGGGCTACCAACTGCCTTGCTCAGTAGTCACCTAAGAGCCCAGCCTTGATGTGAGTGTCAGTTCCTTGGCCAGATGCTTCTCTGGGGCCAATGCCTTGGATATGCTTGCTAATCAAGCCCTCTAGGTACAGCAAGCTCTCAAGTCTTAAGCTCTAATTTATCTAAGTCCAAGTTCCTTGTCACCATCCCAAACCTCAATTAATGGCAATGCTGCCTCTTGGGACCAGAGCCTGGCTCTTTCTCTCTAGCACCTTACCCCTTTATCCAGCGGAATCTTCACATCCATAGAGAGAGAACCTGTTTCCCCATTGATCATGGCCGTTCTCAGCTTTAAGAAGAAAGATAGTAGAATTAGTTCCTTGACTCACCCTGCAGTGCAGAGCTTTACTGACCAGATTGGAGGTGATCCTTAGGAACACTTTTGGTTCTTCCCCTTTTCCTCTGAGCAGAATACTGAGGGGGACTAGAGACTAGCCTCTAGGTACCATTTATCTTATAATTCTGGAAATTCACTAAGTTAATGTTCCAAAGTGGACTGGTATATGCAGGAACATAGTGTCATATTACTGAGACATAATTTCCTCTAGGGTGAGCTACTGACACCAAAGCCAGACTAAAACATCACTCCAACTCCAACTCTGTAGCTTGTAGACATGAGCTTATGCAGCCTTAGTAATCCTTGTGATTCAGAAAGATATTTTTATAGTTGTTTAAAGAATTGCCCATTATAGAAATGATTTCTGGTTTGGGCTTGAAAAGGCTCCACCAAGAAGTATAGAGTGGCCTCAGAGCTTCCAGCCATGCAGCTGGCTCATGTATTGGCCATAGAGCCCAACCAACTCCTCCTTTTCCCACTTTCCCCACTCACGATTTCAGCTCGGTCCTCCCATTCCACTTCAGAGAGATCCACGCTGTTGTAGTTAGGTTTGGGTTTTAGTTTCTTCCCCTCTCTGTACTAGAATGGGCAAGTCAGAAAGAAAAACATGAGGTTAACCTAAGGCCCTGCTCAAGTTTCATCTCTTCAACAAAGCCTTATGGTTATATTTATAAGATCAAAGAATCTCAGTGATTTCTTAAGGTTATCTGGGCCAACTTTTAACCCAATGCAGAGCTTCCCTGTCAACATTTGTGATAGATGGTCTCATGGTCTCTGAGTGCATATTTCCCATGGGAGGAGCTCCCTCTTTTTGAGTCAGCTTGTCATAGTTGTGGACAGCTCTCACACAGAGCTGAAATCTGCCTCCCTGTAACTTTTACCCACTGGTCTTAGCTCTTTCCCTGGAGCTATACAGACTATCTTCCCTTTGAGAACCTTTGAGATTTCTGAAGATGCTTGTCATCCTAAGACTTCATTTCTCCAGGCCACACATTCCTAATTTGCAAATGCCTCAGCTCCCTCTAAATATGCTCTACTATATCAGTGTCACTCCCAGAATGGAGTGCCTAGGATAAAAGTCAGTATTTCAGATGGGGTCAGACCAGTGTGGTGTGTGGCCCAAATATCACACTGCTCTGACTGCTGCCTCTGATTCTGCTTGACTTCCAGGACAGCCATGAGGGTCTGACAGCACAAGTAGAGTTTTCACTCCATTAAATCCCCTGGGCCTTTCTCATGAGACACACTGTTAAATTACATCTTTACAATCTTACACTTGAGCATTGAGTATTGCAGATATTTCCAGGCATCCCTAATATATTTCTTTTTGTTAGTTTCAGCCCATTGTTTTAGAAAAATACTTTCTGAATACTAATTTTCTCGCTTAATGTATTAGCCATACCGTCCAGAATTTGTGGAATCTTTCTGTGTTCTCTTTTGTTGATATAATTTTTGAGTGGTCAGAGCCAAGGACAGACAGATTCTGCAGTGCCCAATAAAGACCTCTTTCCAGCTTGACACACAGAGCCATTAATTAACACTCTTTGAATGTTATTATTATTTTCTGGCCATGACTCTTCTCTCTCTCTCTCTCTCTCTTTCTCTTTCTCTTTCTCTCTCTCCCCAAGAAGTTATCTGCTATTAGGTGTGTACTACTTTCCAGGTTTAGTTTAGTAATAGGTCAAATAAAGGAAGAGAATACACTTCCAGTCAAGATGGCAGCATAAGTAATTGCAATACTCCCATTCTCCCACAATCACATCAAAATTACCACTAAACTACAGAACAATCATCATTCAGAACCTTCTGAATGGAAGTCCTACAACTAGATAACTAAAGAAGAAGCCACATCGAGACTGGTAGGCGGGGCAGAGACACAGAATTGGCTGGTCCTCACACCCACATGTGACAGATAAAAATCAGGAGGTACCCCCTGAGGAGCGAGGGGCCCCAGTCCCACACCAGGTACCCAAACCCAGGGTTTCAGTGCTGGGAAGAGAAGTCCCCATAACTTCTGACTGTAAAAACAAGCTGGAATTGAGGCTGAGGGCTGCTGGAGTCCCAGGCATTCCTCATAAAAGGGCAGCGCACAGAATTACTCTGACTTATTCCATCGGAGCTCCTTAGCTGGGATAGCAGCTCAAAAAGCACCAGGGAGGAACTGAATAGTCTGGCATCAAGGTGAGAGCATTGGGGCAGTTTTCTCTAAGACAGGATTGCTGATAGAGGCCACTGTTCCTTTGATGAGCCCTCCCCTCACAGAGCCAGCAGGTGGGTACCATATCTGAGTCTCCATCAACCTGGTTATCACTGTTCATCCTGCTCTGGTGATTCTCTGAGACCCTGCCCCACCAAACTTGCAGGCCCATCCAAGTTGCTTCCAGTGGCTTTTCCATACAAATGGTCTGCTTTAGACTTTCCTAAAATCTCTCAATCAAGCAGCATCTGTCCTTAGTGTGTCCTGTACCTCTTGCTAAGTGGCCTCAGGCCTGGCACTAGCAGTAGCCAGCCTTGGTTCAAAGCTTGGCCTCTCCTAATTACCTCAAGCCCAGCACAAGTAGCAGCCATCTGCAGATTACTTTGTAGCTCATGCTGGGTTGACCCAGGCAGAACACAGGCAGGAGGAATTGGCCTACACCTCCAGGGAGGCCCCAGAGTCAGTGTACCCAGTGGACAGCTCTAGATCATGTTGAAGCCTGACACACTTGAGAGATGGACTCAGTGGGCTCCAGAACCCTGATGAAGTAAGTCCTACTCTGTGGGGTGGGTCCCTGCACAGCTCATCCTCCATGGTGGACAATGGTCTCAGCCAGTCCTTGCAGCCAATTAGGCTGAAGGTAAATCCCTCCCAATGACATGCCAACAGCAATCAAGGCTCAACTACAACAGGAGGGTGCACATAGCCCATACAAGATGTTGGGGGTGCCCAGCTTCAGTGATTGGGAAAGTTGTGCCACTAGACCCTACACAACACCTACTACATAAGGCCACTCTACCAAGCCGGGGAAATATAGCAGCTCTATCTAATACATATAAACTAACACAAGGAAGCAGTCAAAAGGAGGAGACAAAGAAACATATCCTCAATGAAAGAACAGTATAAAACTACAGAAAAAGAACTAAACAAAATGGAGATAAGCAATTTACTAGATGCAGAGTTCAAACACTATCATAAGAATACTCAATGAACTTAGGGTAAGAGTAGCTGAACTTAGAGAAAACTTCAACAGAATAAAAAAGGACAGGGAAACCTTAAACAGAACATGGAAACCATAAAAAAGAACCAGTCAGAAATGGATATACTATTTGAAATGAAGAATAATTTATAGGGAACCAATAGTAGAGTAGATGAAGCTAAGAATCAAATCAGCAATTTTGAATATAAGGAAGCAAAAAACACCTAATCAGAACAGCAAAAAGAAAAAAAATTTTTTTTCTTTCCTTATTTTATGACCTGAACTTCTTTCTTTCTTTTTAAGGTCATTTATTTATTTATTTATTTTAATTTTGTATTGTTTAAAGTATTACATATGTCTCCTTTTCCTCCCATTGACCTCTCCCCAGTCATTTACACTCCCCAGCACATGCCCTCATCCTCCTACAAATTTTTAGAAATGAAGACAGTGCAAGGAATCTTTGGAACAAGTTCAAGTACACCAACATTTGCATCATGGGAGTGCTGGAAGGAGATGAGAGAGAGCAAGAAATTGAAGATCTATTTGAAAAAATAATAACAGAAAACTTCACTAACTTGATGAAGGAAATAAACATACAAGTTCAGGAAGTGCAGAGAGTCCCAAACAAGATGAACTCAAAGAAGCCCACACCAAGACACATCAGATTAAAATGCAAAAGGTTAAAGACAAAGGGAGAATCTTAAAAGCAGCAAGAGAAAAGTAGTTACTCAGTTACCTACAAGGGAGCTCCCATAAGACTGTCAGCTGACTTCTCAACAGAAACTGCAGGCCAGAAGGAATTGGCAAGAAATACTCAAAGTGATGAAAAGATGCTCAATTAATATTTGACAAAGGAGGCAAGAACATACAATGGAGTCAAGATAGTCTCTTCAATAAATGTTGTTGGGAAAATTGGACAGATACATGCAAGAAAATGAAACTAGACCACCAACTTACACCATACACAAAAATAAACTCAAAATGGATAAAGGACTTAAATGTAAGACGGGAAACCATAAAAATACTAGAGGAGTCCAAAGGCAACAAAATCTCAGACATATGCTGAAGCAATTTCTTCACCGATACAGCTCCTAGGGAATTGGAAACTAAAGAGAAAATAAACAAATGGGACTACATCAAAATAAAAAGCTTCTGCTCAGCAAAAGAAACCATTAACAAAACAACAAGAAAGCCCACTGCATGGAAGAACATATTTGCCAATGTTATCACTGATAAGGGTTTAATCTCCAACATTTATAGGGAACTCATACAACTTGACAAAAGGAAGATAAACAATCCAATCAAAAAATGGGCAAAGGACCTAAATAGACACTTTTCAAAAGAGGACATTCAGAAAGCCAAGAGACATATGAAAACATGCTCAAAGTCACTAATCATCCGAGAAATGCAAATCAAAACAACAATGAGGTACCATCTCACACCTGTCAGAATGGCTATCATCAACAAATCAACAAACGACAAGTGCTGGAGAGGATGTGGAGAAAAAGGAACACTTGTGCACTGCTGGTGGGAATGCAGACTGGTGCAGCCACTATGGAAGACAGTATGGAGTTTCCTCAAAAAACAAAACATGGAACTCCCATTTGACCCTGTGATCCCACTTCTAGGAATATATCCCAAGAAACCAAAAACACCAATCAGAAAGGATATATGCACCCATATGTTCATAGCAGCACAATTCACCATAGCTAAGATCTGGAAACAGCCTAAGTGCCCATCAGTAGATGAATGGATTAGAAAACTGTGGTACATCTACACGATGGAATACTATGCTGCTGTAAAAAAGAAGGAACTCTTACAATTTGCAACGGCATGGATGGAGCTGGAGAGCATTATGCTAAGTGAAATAAGCCAGTCAATGAAGGAAAAATACCACATGATCTCACTCATTCATGGATAATAAAGACCATTACAAACTTTTGAACAATAATAGATACAGAGGCAGAGCTGCCTCAAACTGATTGTCAAACTGCAGTGGGAAGGCCAGAGAGGGTTGGGGGGCAGAAGGGAGGGGAGTAAGAGATCAACCGAAGGACTTGTATGCATCCATATAAGCATAACCAATGGA